TCATAAAAGAAGGTTAATATAATATCATTTAATATCTATGGGATACCAATAAACTTTTGATCATCAATTTTAAAGTCATGTTTAAATTACCATTGCTTTACTTTAGTTGTGTTTGAACCTAGGACGGTCTATCATTTGATTTTAGATTTGTTCTTGTCCCTCTTTTTATCCCAAAAATATACTGAAGACTTCCTGAGTGCTATTGTTTTTGTCTTCATGGAATTCTTCATAGTATCACCCCTAATTTCTTAAAGGTATTGTAACAGCATCAGTGTAGTATATTCATGTTATTAGCTTACATTTATTGAGCACCTGCTAGGTGCTAGTGCTAGATATTCACATTTATAATGATCTCAATGCCATTCTGGTAGAAGGTGTAATACAGAAGTAACAATTTTTCTAGTCTTTAAGATAAGTCTGCAGAGTTGGATATTTTTATCTTCCAATATCAGATTATAAAAGTTAGGATTCATGCCAGGTCTACCTAATACCATGTTCTTTCCAGTGTACATATATAACATTCTTTGTTATAACCCCAGATCTTTGTTCAGAACAGCACATTTCAATATTGCTGAGTTGCATGATAGCTTCTTATCTGGTCCTTTTTATTCTAAATCATGACTTTAAAGTGTTAGAGATGAAATCAACATTGAAGCCCTTAGACTCCTGTGTTTTTTGGAGTTACCAGATATATTTCTCAGATTTCCTTTTAAAAATTCCCTTTTCCTTTATGTTGGTATTTGGTTGTTGAGTTTGACAAGTCTTGGTACACTGTCCAGTACATCTTAAAAAATTACTGTAAAAAGACAGCACACACTCTGATTGTCCACATGAGGACTTGAAACAAAATGAGAGAGAAAGGACTGATGTGAGGAACATTTAAGAAAGAAGTAGGTAGAACTAATTGGCTCTAGGATAGCTCACTGGCTGGAAGAGGGGGAGTGATTTTGCTCCCCTCTTCCCAGGGAATATTTGACAATGTCTGGAGACAGTTTGGTTATTACCATTTGGGGAGTGTGCACCACTACTGGCCACTAACAGGGAGAGGCTGGGGATATCACCAAACTTTATAAGATGCACAGAGCAACTCTAACCTCCATTTCCCAGGTCAAAGAATTTTCTGGCTCAAATGTCAACAGTACAGAGGTCAAAGAAACACTGCTATGGAGTAAAAGGCAGAAAGGGAAGAGAAAAGGTGACTTTGCAATTCTAAGTCTCTGTGACTTCAAACATGGAGATTTCACTCAGTGCAATTAGAAGCTCAGAAGTTTTGCTGAATTATTGGATAAGGGAATGAATCATTTCAACCAGCTTGCATTTGAAGTTAATGTGAGAGACATGCAGGCAGAACCAGCCGACAGCAACACTGTTAATCTGAGGCCGAGTGGGAGAGGGAATGGGGACAAAGTAATTCACCTTGGGATGATAGCGGAGACCACAAAAGTGGTTGAAATGTTCAGACATGTGGGAAAAGGAGAGTAAAGGCATTTTACTGATACTTCAAAAACATAAATCCTTCACATAAATAGTGGATTTTTAAGTGATATCTAGTAAGAATTATTCTGGCTATGCTCATCTGTTTCAGCATGAGGAATCAAATTTGAATACCAACCTTTCTTAAATAAAGGTTCCTGGACAGATTTAATTTAACTTGTATTAACAGTTTGCTTCCTTAGCTCAACACCACTCTTTCTTGTTTGAAGCAAGGTTATCAAATTCATATTTATGTTTTTGCTTAGGTTTTACATGTTAAGAGGGGAACATGTCAATTGCAAGAGGGATTAAAGATATTTTCGCTGTAACTCAAGATCAGGGAAAAAGGATGTCCATAAGGAGAGTTGTAGCCTAGCTTTTTTTTTCAATTTGTCTGCTTTCTGGTTTGGTTTCAAAGCACTTAATAGTTTCAGCTTATAATTGCTAAACGTGGAAACATTGAAACACCACACCCTTGTGTTGCTTATAATGAACAGTGTCTTTAGCACAAACATATTTTTTATCGAAGCACCTAGAGATAGCCAGCCACACCCTTCAAGTTATTAGTCACTCCCACTCTCTGACTTCCCTGTCTTGCAAAAGTTGTGGGGAAAAGGGGCTCCTGAGTTCAGCAAACTGCAGCTGAATTATTTTAATGACCGAGGTGAAGGTCCTTCACTGCGTCTCTTCCTCTATCCAAAACAAGACCCCTAATCATATTAAGAAGTTCTTATTTATGGATACTTGTAACTTTATTCATCTGATCCTAGAAAACTACTAGGTTGTTTGGAAATGTTGTACAGAAGAATCAAATGCAGGCATATAGAACACCCACTGGTTCATAGGAAGGGTGAGTTAGCAACAACTGGGTTCTCCAGAGCCTTTAGGTACAGTGAGATTTGGAGTTTCCCAGACTGGAGGAACCAGTATGGTTCCTCTTAGCTCCCTTATAAAAATTTCCTGACTTTATTGCTTGTGTCTTGTGAGTATTCATGGTTTCATCTGCTCTGTGTTTTGAAAAATATTTACAGCTTTGTTGGCCATGGCCTTAAAAATAATTTTAACCTTATTATTCAGATAGATGTCTCATCATGCTGAATAACACATGACCCACATATGCTAAGAATAAACTGGATGGTGGCCTGAAATCTTCCACCCACATAACTGGAAATGTATGGAATGCAAAACTGGATCCCAGCTACAGTGCTGTCTGCAGAGGTGGCTCTTCATGACGGGGGAGGAAGCCACCTACTCATAATTTATTAGGAGGGTCTGGAAATGTCTGTGTGGATATTTCTCCCTTAGGCCTTCCCTTGTATCGGAAATTCTCACCGTTACAGTGATTCTTTGTCTAAGACATCATTTCAGTACAAGCACCTTTAAAATGCATAGATTCCTACCTGCAAGGGTAGGAACTCTTGATTTCATTAAAGATGATTGTTAATTTAGCTCAGATAGGTTTTTCCTTTTTTCCAATTTTATCCTTCTTCTTAGAAAATAGGGCTTTGACAAAATAAAAGTTAGGAGACTATTTGCTCAAAGTAAGAAATCAGCAACATTCAGGCATAATGGATTTTGCCAGGGTTGGTAGACAAGGCTGGAAGAGTTGCCACTGAGGCAAGAGAGAGCCCTTTGGGGCACTGCTTTTAGACCTGTCCTTGAGACTTTGATATGGCTCACTTCTCACAGTAACACATGAATAATAAATGAGTAACAATAACGGCAAGCATTCTTTATTGGTTTCTGGCTTAGCTATATGCTTCACATTCATTATCTCATTTAAGTCTCACAACAACTACAGAAGAGTAAACAGGCTCAAGAAAGGTAAAAACCTACCCAGGTATGAAGTTAATAAATAGGGGGAAGTGATATTTGAAATGAGGTTGGTCTGATTCCAAATGAGTGGTAGTGTTACTGGCAGCGCCTGTTTACAGTCTCTCCTCTTGTTCTTTTCCCATCTTGTTGCCTCTTCAAACTTAGGTGTCAGCCATATGCTGTTCTCCCTGCTTAGAATGTCTTAACCCTCTCTCTTCCATCTGCTTGAATTTTTTTTCCCATTTTTTGAGGACCAGAGGAAATGGTGAAATATCACCTCTGTTTAAAAACTTTCTTTAATGTAAGATTTGTTGCATTCATGTTATAAATAGCCAGAGAGATATATCTCTGTTCTCTGCCAGATATGTGAGATCCTTGAGATAGGACTTTTTTTCTTTATAATGTTTATAACACACAGTCAAACTTAGTCTATTGGACACACTAGACAATCAATAGACATTTGTTGAATGAGTAAATTTGGCCATAAGCTGTCTTATAAAATTAGAGAATAAGCAACGCTCATCTTAAGGTTAACAAAAAAAGATTAAATTATATCTACTGCAATTGGTTTTAGAAGGCAGGAAGTAGCATAGTACTTTTAGGAATACTTTCATTTTTTTAAATTAACTAAAATTTTTATTAGTTGACTAGACAGTTTTTATAAAGGTCACTAATTTTCTTGTGACTGGGTATATGAGTTTTGTGTGTCAAGTTAACATAAGGGTGGAAAAAACTGTATACATATATTTTCTGTTTATACTTTTGAGGACCGGTAATATTGAAACTTCTGCTAAAGGGGAACATAGCGTAATATATGCACTATAAGAATGAGGAAAACAAAATGCTTGCCAATGTATTATCCAATGCATTTATGAATAAATTATATGAATGGGTGTGAGGAGATATAAATATGTATCCCAGAGATAGAAAAACACCTTATAAATAACTTTAAAAGAGATGTATAGAGGTGTTGTAAGTGTGGGAAACATATCACATATGGCCCTAGAGACATAATGTGAAACATCAGAGAAACACGTGGTTGCTTTTTGTGGTCCTGGGAACCCAAAGATGTATGTGTATTTCTCCATTTTTAAGTTTTTTTATGTGTGTGCTTTAATGATACCAAGCTCTTTAAAAGATTAAAAGAAGACGAATATGTCCCTCCACCTATTTATACACTTTTTAAAACAAATTTTGCTTGTTTTAAATTTCTCAAAATTAAATATAAATTATAAATGTAAATACTTTTGAAAGGAGAAAAATTTATTTGGGGGGGTCATCGTGTCCCTGCAGTTTTTCTTCCTTTTAGTCTGTGGGATGCATTTTGGTAACTTTGTTAAGCCAAATTAAACTGTGAGTGTGTGTGTGTTTGTAGGAGTGTATTTCACCTTGCCCTTTCTTACTTAAGAACCAAAGGTTCTCACAGGAGGCTAGGGATATGAACAGTGACATTCTGCATTTATATAGACCATCTGGTTTTAGACTGAACATCATCCATCCATTCATTCATTCACTCCATGCATAATAACTGAGAACCAGCTACTTACCAGGTGTATTGCCAGGCTGTGGGTAGAGACAAGAATGTGCCACAGGACCTGATCTTGGGGACTCCACAGTCTTGAGGGATAGGCATAATTGTAAACCAAAAAGCCACAGATATTCTAAAAGTATTCTGTTTGCAGATATGGCACCATTTTAACCTTTATTTCTAGATGAAAGACCTACTTGAACATTTGACCAAGAGGAGCAATTGCTGTGTACCACATGATTCTTGGCTGAAGGTATGAGAATTCCTCAAGTGTTAAAGCAGGTAGCACCAGCAGTTGCCCTAGGCTTTGTGGCTTCTACCTCAGTTTTGGCCATTATTGTGAATCCTTCAAGAGTCACACTGTAAGGGCTACCTGTCCTAAATGATACCATGTCATCTGAAGAGCCTTTTATGTCTAACCTAGATACTGGACTAGCAGAGAATACCAGATGGTGTAATAAATACTTAGAATCAGTTGCTCCTGGTATCTGAAATGAAAGCATTTGTAAGTCCTACTTTTGTACAGTTGTATGCATGGAGAGGAGACAAGGGGGTTTGTTGGTTTCATTCTGTTTATCTGTGCTAATTTATAGGGCATTATTGCCTAATGATTATGCAAACAGCCTTGAAGCTAGGCTTTCCATGTTCAGCACTTAGTTCTGTCACTTACTACCTATAACTTCAGTTAAGTTATTTAATCAATACCTATTTACGCAACTGTAAATGTAAAATTACACTACCTGATGATAATAGTGTTGTGTGAATTTAGTTAATTAATGTATAAAAAGTAATTAGAACAGTGTCTGGCACATAGGCAGGCCTATTATTACATTATCAAGTTTTTATGGTACTTGTTTCTGCTAGGCCTCAAGAAGGTATTAGACTCTTTCTCAATAGAGCTCTCTAGACAACTACTATCACTAGATTGAAGTGGAAGATGAGATGAAATTAATTTGTCATCCTTTTTTCCCTAGACATAAAATATCTTTCTACTGAATAAGAAAATTCCTCTGAAAACCAGCTTTAAGCAAACTTTCAGGACATTGCTCTTATTAATAATCTTTTAACTGGTCCTTCTTTGGAAAGCACCTGACAACAAAAGGGTAGTATTTCTCCCAGAGATACTTGCATTTTCACAGAGACTTACTAAAAATATATATGGTTTGACAATCTTTAGATCTTATTTTCTGGTGGTGAATTTCAAGGCATCATAACTGTGTAGTGAGAGAGCTTGGATCTCCCTGAAGCAGACAGATCCAGTTTAGTTGCATCTCCTGGGTATCTGCAGAAGTAAATATTCTTTGCAGAAAGTCTCCCAAAACCCAATAAAGGACCACAGGACTCCTACAGTTAAGATCAAGAAGTTAGCTCACAATCAAAGATCCTTAAATATATGAGGAAGCAACCACTTGACTTAGAGTTCTAGGACCAACAGGCAGTAGACTTAGAACCTTGAGACAATAAAAGTATAACATAGCTGCTCTTGTGATCATTCTTTTTGTAGTTGAGGCAAGTGAGACCCACAAAGTTAAGTGACTTGTCTAAGGTAGCAGAGTGAATAAATTATTAAGCTGCTTCTAATCCTTGCAAACTGACTCCATAGACTGCAATGGAATAAATGGTAGCTAAAGTTAGAGAATAAAAGTTAGGGGTGGAGAGTAACTTTGCTAATGGGATAAATAAATAATATCTGCATGCTTAGTTTAAGACTAGATATTATGGAGAATGTAAAAAATCTCCATTCTTATGGGGTTTATAGTCTCATGGGAGTGAGAGGTCTTAGGCACATGGAAATGTACACATTAAATGCAGAGTCACACTTTCAGAGCCCTGGGTGTTCCCAGGCAATGACATTGTGGAGGAGTTTGGGGACAGACCACAGAGGAAAAGGATTTGAGGTTGTCTTGGAAGATGTGTGGACTCTAGATTAACAGAGAGGTAGCAGAAGGGTGTTTCAGTGGACATAAGAGCAATGGGAAAAAGAATAATCATGACACATAAAGGGGGCCATAATACAACTTAGTTGATCTATAAATGCCATTTATTTAGGGGGAGGTTGACCACGCAGCACCTCAATTTGGACCAGAGGGTGGAAGTCCTTAAATATAAAGATGGCATTAGCCTCAGAATTACAGAGAGAGAAACCATAGTTGGTGAAAATCCAGTGCTGTAAAAATGGTGAACCATCTAGAGGAATAATCATCAGACAATGCCAAGTGGTTTCATGCTGTAGAGACCACATTTGAAAGGTGATAAGCCTGTCATGTATGAGATATGAAATGAGAGTTGTTATAGATGTTTTCAAACTCCATGTCGATTGTGTCCTGTGAACCCCACAACCTTCATCTTCAGACAGATAACAGAAAGTTATAACGATCTCTTGCCTGTGTGGTCTTCTGCAATGTTTTCCCTCTTCTTTCCAAAGCACTTCTCTTTATATTCATCTGGTCACCAAATTTTCATGTGTTTCTTTGAGTTGTTTTATGTGTTGCTGAAAAATGCTTGATGTTGCTATATCTAGGAAATAAATCCAGTGTGGTGGGGGAACAAACACTCTCAAGTCATGGAATAACAAGACTTTTTTTGGCTGCTCGATTGCTTACACATGACCTGAATCAGCTCTTTATTTTTCACTCTTTCCATCTCTGACCTGAGGAAGGCAGCCACTTTACTGCTAGATAATGTTGAAGAACAACGACTCTTTCTGATAAAAGTGGATTGTTAGAAATCAATTGACTAAAATTTTAAAACTTTTCATTGCTATTTTAATTTAAGCAACACTGTGCCATACGTTGTATTTTAATTACTAGCTAGGTTTCTAAATGTATCCTGTAATTTGATAAAATATCTGTAATGTAGGCAAGCTACTATAGCTAAATACCCTTGCCATTTGCTTATACATATTGTATGTATACTCATGTCCCATATGCACACATATGGTAACTTGCTGTATGACTATAAGACTTGGACCTGTATTTGCAGCAAGTCCATTTGTGGAGGTTCAGAACAGTGCTTATAGGAGTAAAAAAGAAAAGAAAAGAAGTGGCTTTAAGAAATCCAAATCTGCAAATTTTCCTCCTTAATCATCCTAATCATATGCATCCTACTCCTGACTATGATAATAGTAATAGTAAATATGGATACATTGCTTTACAGTTTATGAAACTGTTGCATAATTTCCACTGGGATGGTGGGACACCTAATTGTGGAAAGAAAGCCAGTGAATAATGGGAGTGAGGTGGGTATGGGTTGAGTTGGATACAGACAGCCTCTAGACTGCATAGGAAGTATTTGGTGGTAAGGAGTTTCCACTTTGTTATATATGCAATGAAAGCTACTGAAAGGTTTTAAACAACAGAGAGTGACTTGGATTCATTCACAGTTTTGAAAGTCTTCTAGGCTGCTGCATGGAAATGGACTGCCAGAGTGTAAGTACGCAGATCAGTAAGGAAGCTACTGTAGTAGCCTTCATGAGAGGTGGTGGTGGCCTGGGGTGCATTCACCGTGAGGCTAATGAAGCTTACACTTCAGGACACCCTTTCTTAAGCAAGGGAAGAACCTGAGCATTGTGTTCATAACATCCTATGTCACTGTGATATTTGCAAAAATAAGACTATCCTAACTACTAGCTGTTAACATAGCCCTTTCTTCCCACTCTGACCTTCTGTCCATCCTCTCCTTGGGTGGGGTAGTGCTGGAGAGGCTATGGGTATTTTTTATGTTCCTACCATGGG